ACAATAGTGTTTCGTGCACATCCGTTTTTACAGATCTGGCTTATTTGTATGCAGACAGTTGACTCCTTGTCTGTCACGTAGATGCACTCCGACTTGGAATTGGAAGGAAGCCCGCAGCTAGTCAACTCTTACGACGTGCTTACTTAGGAGGTGGTAAGTCTATTCATGTTTTCCCCAAAAATTGGGCACCGGAACAAATACAGAGAAATCGGAAAATGAAAGGAGAATTGTTGAACGAAGAGGCAAGTGAAAAACATTGACCACATTAAAGGACCACAAACAACATTAGGGAAAAGTAAAAGGTAAGCTAACAAGAGTTAATCAGCGATCTAAGTGGGATGATAACATTAGGAAACGAAAACGAATGACAAGCAGTCTTAGAGAGTGTACAACCAGGCGAGAAACGAGGACTGAAGATAGAATGGGTCCAACCTTAATTGTGAAGAAGGAATCTGGTTGACAAAGTTTAGTACAACCAAACCTGAAAAAAAGAACACGTGTAGCTGCAGCTAGCATGATCGCTAATCATGGTACCCCTGCAGGTCCTGATCCGCCCACGACTGCAGGTTCCACCTGGCTAGCCTAGATATTACTGGTGCCCTTATTATCACGTTCTTGGAGGTTGAACGGGGTATCTGAGATCTGATCTGCTTCCTAATTAAGATTTTAATAATCTCAGAACGGCGTGCTAAACCATTAGGTAGCAGAACCGTGACTTCTTTTTCTTTTTCTTCACTTCCTCTTTTACTGCTGTGGGTGTCGAGGGAGATATAAGGTTCTGTTTCTAGCTCTTCTGGCTGCCTCGACCATAGGCACATCGTGCTGTTGTAAAGTTTCTCTGATGTTATCTTTCCATCTTGTTCTTGGTCTACCCCGTGCTCTACGTCCTTCTTCTCTTTTCATGTATGCTTTATATGGTATGGTGTCACAAGGCATTCTCTCTAAGTGGGCAAACCATTTCACTTGCTGTCTTTGTATTTAATCCAGAATTGGTTCTGTGCCGACTTGTTCTCTTATGATCTCATTCCTGATCTTATCTCTTATGGTCACTCCTACAGCCCTTCTCAGACATCTCATTTCCGTGGTTACTAATTTTCTTTTATGGTTTGTTGTGAGTGACCATGTCTGGCACTGGTAGCACAGAGTTGGAAAAAATATGCTTTGAATAAGATTTCTCTTTGTGCTGATTGGGATTATCTTATGCTGTAAGAGGGGGGCTAGCTGTCCCAATACTTGGTTTGCTTTACTGCATCTAATGTCAATTTCTTTATCCAATTTCCCATCTTCGGTAAATGTAGTTCTCAGATATTTAAACTCAGATGCCTGTTTAATGTCTTTGTATTCTATTGCTATGTTTAGATCTGTCTTCTTTTTTCCTACTGACATTACTTCTGTCTTTTCAGTGTTGATTCTCATATTATTTGTTTTACATTCTTCATTAATGGATGTTAGATGTTGTTGCAATTTCATGGCTGTATCTGCTATCAAGGCCTGGTCATCTGCAAAGAGTAATTCGTTGATCTTACTAAGATTTTCATTCATGGGCTTGGAATTCTTGCATATACTGTCGATGTAGGTAATAAACAGCAGTGGAGATAAGACACATCCCTGTCTTACTCCAGATGTCACTGTGAAAGGATGAGATGTTCCCTGATTTATTCTAACTACACTTCTACAATCCCTGTATAAACTTTTGCACACTTTGATGAGGTGTTCGCTTACTCCATATCTTGCCATTATTTTCCATAGTAATTGTCTGTCGACTCTGTCAAATGCCTTCTCCTGGTCTACGAATGCCACAAATAAGTTCTTATTGTATTCAATGTTCTTTTCTATTAACTGTTTAGGGGGGGGGGGGGGGGGAGATTGCATCTGTGCAGCTTCTATTTCTCCTAAATCCCATCTGTTCTTCTGCCAGCTGTGGTTCTAGCGCTGGTCTCAGAATCGTGACACTTTCGTCAAATATGATTTAAAGACAGTATGATAGACATTATTTTTTTTCTTCTTCAAATATTGATTGCCACCCATTGAAAGAACCAGGTAGATAGCAGAACATATTAGCCAACATAAAAATCAAAAGCGATAGTCGTCATACTAGAAGCTGAATTTGTCACCTCTTCGGGCTACCATGAGCTTTCTTCTTTTTTGTTTCTTTTTCTTCTTTTTCTTCTTCTTCTTCTTCTTCTTCTTCTTCTTCTTCTTCTTCTTCTTCTTCTTCTTCTTCTTCTTCTTCTTCTTCTTCTTCTTCTTCTTCTTCTTCTTCTTCTTCTTCTTCTTCTTCTTCTTCTTCTTTTTTTTTTTTTCTTCTTCTTCTTCTTCTTCTTCTTCTTCTTCTTCTTCTTCTTCTTCTTCTTCTTCTTCTTCTTCTTCTTCTTCTTCTTCTTCTTCTTCTTCTTCTTCTTTTTCTTCTTCTTCGTCTTCTTTTCTTCTTCTTCTTCTTCTTCTTCTTCTTCTTCTTCTTCTTCTTCTTCTTCTTCTTCTTCTTCTTCTTCTTCTTCTTCTTCTTCTTCATCTTCTTCTTCTTCTTCTTCTCCTTCTCCCTCTTCTTCTACTTCTGCCTTTCCCCTTAAAGGGACTGTTTACCGCTAGACTGCAAGTAGACAATTAGCACTTCTTGGACACGTCATGGGAAAGGAAAATAGGGACACGTCATTACACCAAGACACCTAGAGTTAACGTGAGAGTTTACATTTGGCAGTAAAAAGAATTTAGACAGCGTGTCATCGCACTATGAAGAAAACTATGTTTTGTAAACGAATGACAATGTGCGAGTAGAGAGGATGCGGACATTTTCATGACGGTAAACGCCACGAATCACTGATTAGAAGCGGATGTTGAAATAGTGCCCGCTGCTGTATATTTATTTCAATTGTTTTTTTTCCCGCTATAGGGTTGATAATTTTCCCGCGCGCCAACCTACAAACACATACACACACACACACATACTTAAGAGAGAAAAAGAGAGAGAGAAGATAGAAAAGGATGTTAAGGCGTAAAGAGCAGAGAGTATTGGATATACATACATATATATATATATATATATATATATATATATATATATATATATATATATATATATATATATATATTATATTACACAAAAAACACACACACACACACACACACAAACACACACATTTAATGGATTGTTTCGCTAATGTTGGCAAAAAGAGATCAAACTCATTTGCGAAAGTGCTATTGCTATATGTAGCTTACGTATTTTTAAAAAAACCACAGACATCCATTTAGAAGCTACCACTTAAGAGTTCCCCAGTCGCTACCGGGCGTCCTTACACAATAATAACAGGAGTGACCCACTTTGTGAAGGGGGAATCCGTCTCTGGTGGCTTCAGTCATGAATACCCGATTCTATGTATAGGAATGTAACGACAGCGGAACCAGACGTCATTGAAATAAAATATGGAATAGAAACCTCCATGAATTGGGAATCTCCAGGAATACGGTATTTTGGTAGGTTAAAATTATTAAGTTGCGGTTCCCACTTCTACCAGTATATAAAACTGCAGCAGTAGTTAATACACTCAAACACTACATTGAACTCAAGTCTTGAAGATCTAACCAAAAGTCTCAGAGACAACATTTATTTTACAATACACCAAACTGTATTTTTGCCGTCGCTAACAATTGTGCACAGTACAGGAACGTTTAGCCAAAAGAATCGATCTCCAGCCATTAGTTTACTGAGATACCATACAGCTGACATGAACATGAAAAGTAAGTATTATTTTATTTTCCATTATGTGCTAAACTGTTTTTTTTAATTTTTTTAAATTTTTTCATTGTGACATTTCTGTTACATTTAGATTTCAAACAATGAAGTAAATGTTAGGTAGGTAAGTAAGTGTTATATTTTTAAAGAAGTAAAAAAAAAAAAAAAAACATTGAAAAAAAAACAAAAACAAATAAGCATAAGACCATTTTTACACCAGCAGCGAATTGGGCATATAAAGCTAGACTCCTTTTCTTAATAGACAAATTGACACTTGATGGGGCCAGTCGCCTTCACTTGCCAGAACATTGCCCGATCTATAAAGATGAGTTTTTCAGTGTTGATTCTCCCCGTGTGGGTTCCGGGGTCCTATTATAGGGAAAACAATAATAGGCTCAGTGTCTACCCAAAAGTCCTTAAGAAAGAGAATAGGGGATTTTGAGCGGAAATGCTATAGAAAGATTCTCAGAATATCTTGGACAAAGAAGATGAGAAATATTGACATCTTAAGACATCTGAACATCAAGGAAGATTGGCTAATAAACAGCATCCTTTCTCGAAAACTGGTATATTTTGGTCATATCAAGCGCCACGACAGGTTGGAAAAAATTATAGCAGAAGGCATGGTACCAGAAAGGAGGGGCAGGGGCCTGAGAGGCAAGGAACCAACAGTCTGCACACAAATGTGTCAGATCTGTCAAACGGATGCTCACGCAACACCCCGATTCTGAAACAGTATTGCAGTCCAGTAGGGGACGAATTACCAGAACTCTCCTTCAGAGTTTACAGCCAGAGAACGAAAAGAAGAGGAAGTGTTGATTCATGAGCAACATAGTTCGTTCAAATGCTTTGTATTTGGGGCTCCCTGTGTAGGTTTCGAAGCCCTATTGCGGTGGTTGGTGGTTGGGGGGGGGGGGCGTGTGGAGAGATATACCAACTATAAGCATAGCGTAAAAGTAGACTAAAAAGGGGTGTTCCCGTCGAAGTGGAAGTTTATCTGCCTGAGAGCCAAACAACTAACAGTCGGCATACATATAAGTCACAATTGTAAAACGGAAGTGCGTGCAAAACTCAAGTTCTTGGAAAAGACTAAAGTCTAGATACACGTGGGTGAACATTCAGAAATTTTGGACAGAGTTTACAGTCGGTAAACACAATGATGAAGAAGTATTTGGGGTAGTCTTATAAATAATTTATAAGTGAAATAAATAAACAGCTTCAAGATGACACTTGAATAAAATGTAAAAATTTGGCGCCATTAGTTATGAAAATGTTCAGTTTAACAAGTATGTTCAATCGCAAGAAGCAAATAGCTCTAAAAAGATTAACTAATTACAACTAGTTAATCTGTATTAGAATTAAATGTCCAACCAAGACACGGGACTATTATTCATTAAAAGTAGCAGATTCACCCCACACACACACGCGCGCACACACACACACATATTCCCCCTCCCACACACACACACACACGAGCGCGCGCACACACTAACGTACCACCACCATCACGCGTAGTTGGTTTAACCTGACTTTGCGGTGAGCCAAAGAGTTAACAACTCATGGTTTCTGGATACTTTAAAAAAAAGACACCTTCGGCTTTCACCACAAGCAAGGGAACCCTTTGACCTACATACATAAAATATATTATGTGGGAATATTTGTAAAATGGAATTCCGTAACGGTTTTAAAACGAGGCAGGAGGGAACTGCAGAATAGGTACCCCTTTCTGCTTATCTGCTCTGAAAAGCGTGGTTCACTTTTATTTGATGAATGTGACAGACGAGTCTGCATGCGGTTTTCATACTTCCGTTAATAGCCGAAATGATGCATGACTGGTATAATTCTCCTGTCTTTAGGCTTGTGTATAGTAGAGTAAAAGTAAGTAAAGATTCCTTTTCAAGCCTCTTAGGCGCATCGGGCAACTGGGAAGAGCACCAATATTTTTACAAACCAATCGGCACTAGGTGGGTAATGTGGCCACATTACGGCGGCCGTCTTTACTTCACCAGTACATAAATACTGGTACACGTTTTTGGCTAGGTCGACCAGCATAGAGTTTCGTTACGTTAGAATTACGTACGAGCAGGACTCGCAACACTCAAGCCACAAACGCCGCTTGTGTAAAGTGTTTTTATTTGATTCATACAATTTCAAAGCATGTACTTCGTTGCCGTCCTTTCACTATCATATGTCATGCTGGTAAAGTTAAGTGTCATGGCTCTTTAAAACATATTTTTGGGGAGTGGAGGGAGGGGTCCTTACCTCTGTCTCCCTAACCATTACTGGAGGGGAATCAAGGTTCCTGAGCTCCCAGACTGCGGTGCCAATTCGAAGAGATAATAGAAAGTAATAATATCGGATAGGCAGGTACGGATGCTAACCTTAATGCTACCGTATTTACTAAATCAGGCATGAGTCGCGGTGCTGTATTTGGGAAATAAAGGCGGTCAGCGTAATGATGATGGCCACGTCATCCATCGAAGGCTGATTAGTCTATGATAATATGACACTAGCATCATATGCCCGAAACGAAACTGACGTAAAATGAGTACTTTACTTTACTTTACTCTTCTTCACTTTAATTTAATTTAATTTAATTTTCTTTAAATTAGTTTACTTTTCCTACTTAAAGTAAGTATCCAGGAAGCAATAAGATTCCTGTCTGTGAGCTTGCCTTCAACAGGATCGATTTTCCGAGTACTTTGCCAAAACACTAGTAGCTCTCCAGTTTCACAAAGCATCCTGTTTATGGGATGGGTTTTGACAACATTGCGCAGATTATGTGAAACTTTCCGGCGACGTTTAGTTCTCCAGTTATCGATATTCTTGTCAATGTTAACAATCGCTCACTGCTTTAAACTGAGCAGAAAAGCACCCAGTGATATTATTTTTACAGTATTAAATACTATACTTTATACGATTTTACAATGAGTTATGATGATAACCCCTTCCCCACCCCCCTCCCCCTTCCCCACCCCCACCCCCACCACGGTCCACCCCGCCACCCCCCGCCCCCACCACCCCCTGCCATCATCACCCCCCGCCAACCTACTCTTACTCAAAAAATCTCTAGTTACTATTGTAAGGACCTGGGTCGATACTTGAGCAATGGTCAAAGCCGATAATTGTAAGGCATAAGATATTATGATTAGTAAAACCACGATTTTTCTGGTAGTACGCAACGGTACTCAGTACCAGCACCTTTTTCAGTTTTGACTTTTCAGCGCTAAATAAGACACACATGTTGTGAATACCGACACATTTTTTTTTTTTTTTTTTGGTTACATTTGTTTCAATCTGAATGGTAGACAAATCAGACAGATTCTAGATACCTTTTTCAGCAAAGAAGTTTTAATTAGGGCACTTGTAAAAGCTACACAAGCCAGGTGTAATAAGTAGGTAAGTTTTACCCCACTAGGACATCACGCAGAGATATAAATACCCAGTGACACAAAGTGTCACCATGCGGATAAAGCTCACCCATTGAGAGGTCCCAGAAATCCCGTTGAATAGTTTATTTATATTAGGACCCAGGAATCAGCGAGAGTGAAGCTTCCAAGTAACGAAAAATTGCATTCCACAAGGGGACGACTATGATAATCACAAGCGGACCTATGCAAGCAGGCACGCCTTTGGAGAATGTTTGGACTATTGCATTAGGTTGTATGCCAAAAGTCTCCATCATTGCAGGTCCCAAACAGGAGTGAGAAAGGAGGAAGGTTGGGCTTGGGAGCTAGCTCACTCACTGAGTAAAAATTATTTGCTACAGAAACTTACAGGAAAGGATCTAAAGATATGGAAGAAAGTTTAATGCATTCGAAAACAAATGCACGAGGAAAACAATGAGCATTAACTCTTTAGAGTCCCAAGGAACGCATCATACGTCATAGGTTACTGCCTAGATGCCCAATGAACGTATGATGCGCTGATTTTACATCTCTCTTGGCTACCCCTTGGACCTGTGATGCTAAACCCTCTGGGACTTAAAGAGTTAAATTGGATAGAGTCAAGGCGACGAAACGATATGAGAAATGTCTGGAAAAGCACTAGAATGGATATCATTAAGAAGGAGAAGATGGCGCTATAATGAGGAATTCTGAGAACAGACAAACAGATAATGATTAAACAGGCATTGATATAGAAAACTGAGGGACTGAGGAAACGATAAACGTTAAAGAGGAACTCTAAGGCGAAGGTTGATGAGAGAAGCCAAAGGTGCTGCACCGGATTATATTCACGATATGGAAGGAATTGTAGAAGATAGAACGGAAAGAAGGAATAGACTGTGAGCTCCAAGTGGCATTTAAAGTCAGAATAGATCATTGAAGGAAGAAACATACCAAAAAAGTAAACGATATTTCCAGCCTACGGCTTCCAAATATTAGGAACGACTACTCTCCGAAGTCAGAGGTCTATTTGCCATGATAAAAATAACTCAGCGATCCTGGGGAATCCCTACAGTTTTAGCTGTCAGTGTGTAAGAATTATTTAACGAAAATCCTGTTTGTTAACTAAACCAACATTTCAGGGCCACCCCTTGCTACTTTGATACTTAAAATAGAATGTTCGGACACTATAAAATGTTCAGTGAAGATATTCCATGCATCAGTCTACAAAGATCGTTTTAACAGACCCGCACTGTGAACAAATAAATCAGTTTTATTTGGTTACTTATTAATTAAACTTTTACATGACTACATATATTAAAGGTATAGAGCACACATGCTTTTTGGTTTATTATTTCATAAGTTAAGCAGTATTATGTGAAAGTCTCTAACGTGGAACATAATGTTACAATTAAAGAGGGAGCCTTGATACTGTAGTGTGTAGAAACTCACCTCTCGGCCCAAGAAGCTTGCATTGGAATCTTTAACTGGTAAACATTTAGACCTTAGCTTCCAGGTCTAACCAAGGGCAGCCAGCGTGGTGTTGACCCCATCGCCCGTCGAGTGCTGATTGGTCTATTAAAAATATGAGTCTATGCGCTAAAATATTTTTAAAAGTTTTCTATTTACTTTAAATTTCAAGTAAAGCAGATTCAAAATTTTAGTTGCCAGTTACAAACTCAGGTATAACTAGTCTCTGTATTAAAAAATAGAATATTTTAACTTTTTTTTTTATTTTAATATGTTCGTGATTGTTATATATTTTCTTTTATTGTGATAAAAAATTTTGACTGCAAGCTACTTACTTTGTCGCTTCTCTTCTACCTTGGAGAGAAGAGGTTTGCCAGAGAGATCGCCAGACTTCTCTATCAGCAGTTTTTTTTTTTCTTCTGGCTTTGTTACACTCCAGTCCTCTGGTCAAGTGTGTGTGTGTGTGTGCTTTGATACCTAACATCGCAAATCTTTTTTAAGAACAAGAAAAATATTAAAATGAGTACCCAAAGGCAAAAGCGGTGACAACGTCTAATTTAAGAATAGAGATGGAGACAGTCACTGCAACCTTTCGCTGGCTTTAAAAAAAAACTGTACACACATGTAACTTTAACCGACTCAGAGAACATGATCAGAAAGGTGGAAACTGGTATGCTCCGGAAGAGTGGCAAGCATTGCTTCAGAGGTCCCGTATAGTTCGCGTCCTTTGGATATTTTTCCCCAAGGTATGTCGATGTATTAGGAAATAAACAGACAGGTAGACTGCTCCGCTGCAGCAGCCACTCCAAAGTACTTCTACTAATAGTTTCCATGAGAAGTTGGTTATAATGTCTCCTATCTCGGCCTCGAAGGCGACATTGACATGCTTCACCATGCTTCATTCCGATGTCACGCAATCATGTTAGTGTCAGAGATTCGTCATTATCTACTAGCCCAGTTCCTACAGCTTTGATGATATCTGCTCTTCCAGGCTTCTTCCCACATGCTATATTGAATTGCTTGCCAAATGATCCGCTCGTTCATTACCCTGAAAGGCTTATAACAATCAAGTAAAATGTGTTAGAGAACTTACCTCAATATGTGCTGCTATAATTATCTTACGGTTTTTCCCCCAACTCTGTTGCAGAAGTGATCGCGTTGTTGCTGATAGCACTGGCCGCCTTGTCCCAGGGTGCTGTACTCAGATCTGTACCCACAATAGATAACCCTTGTCAAGGTGACACAACTAGCACTGGGACACCCGTGTACTTGCCGATCAAAGATCAAATTCAGCTGACAATCACGGCAGCAAACAATGCAGACACCACAAGCCAAACTTTCAAACAAGCTTTGGTAAGTATGATGTTTACTTATCTCAATGCACACTAAAAATACATCACTTTTAATGGTAGGATATATCAATGCCAAACGTGGACACTTACATCCTCCAATGAACGTAAAATTGTGACAACAGAGATGAAATGCCTTGGAAGAGTTGCAAGAGTTTCAAGGAAATACAGAATACGAAATCATGAAATCAGACGAATGCTAGGAATAAACCCAGTCTTACAGGTCATTAAAGAGCAACAAATGAAGTAGTTTGGACACCTAACAAGAATGCCCTGCTACTATCTGCCACAACGAGCCAGACTAAAACGTTACAACGGGTATAGAGCGAGTGGAAGACCTCGGAAAATATGGAGTGATGGCATTGAGAACAGCCTTACATAAATGAACATCAGTCTTAATAGTGCTCTTGACAGAGCTCATCAACGAACATTACATCTCCCCCGACACTTCGATTAGGTAAAATGTGGAAGAGACGAAGAAGA